TGATCAGGGGGAGATGGGGGGCTCCTGTCCAAGCCTGACACCTCTGGCGGAGTCGTCAGGCCTGGGAAAGGGGCCGATTCTGAGATTGGAGGGTGATGGGGGTCAACGCCTGAGGGCTCCCAGTATGTGAGAGGGGGCAGGCTGGGCTGAGGGACACTCCTGCCCCCACACACACACCCAGTGCACGAATTTCGTGCACCGGGCCCCTAGTCCTATATAATAAACTAATATGCAAATTGACTGTCATGCCCTCACACAAGATGGCCACCCCCATGTGGTCACAAGATGGCCACCACAAGATGGCTGGCAGGGGAGGGCAGTTGTGTGTGATCAGGCCAGCAGGGGAGGGAGGGCAGCTGGGGGGGGACCAGGTCCACAGGGGAGGACAGTTAGAGGTGACCGGGCCTGGCAGTTGGGGGAAACTAGGCCTGCAGGGGAGGGCAGTTTGGGGTGATCGGGCCGGCAGGGGATCAGTTAGGCATTGATCAGGTTGGCAGGGGAGTGGTTAGGGAGCAATCAGGCAGGCAGACAGGTGAGCGGTTGGAGCCAGCAGTCCCAGAGTGTGAGAGGGATGTCCCTGATTGGAGAGGGTGCAGGCTGGGCTGAGGGACACCCCCCCCCCAGTGCACAAATTTCATGCACCAGGCTTCTAGTAGTATAATAATTAGAACACATGATTATTTGGTACTGAATATAGCTAAGAAAATTGCCTTTTCTGTCAATTTGGGATTTTCAGGAAGCCAATAAGACCGAGATCAAAGTGAAGGTTTACTGAGGGGTCCACTGTGAAAAATAAAGAACGGGGAAGGAGGAGGGGGTCGGGAGAGCTTCAGCCGTCCTCAGCCAGCCCAGCAGGGAGCTGCATTGTGAAGGTGGCCTGTTGGAGGAATTGTGCTGGAGGCAGAACTGGCCGGGCCCTGGCGTCCTCGCAGCTGCCACACCCACTGGCCCGGGAACCAAGGCCGATGGTGAAGGACCTGGAAGCTGGTCAGCGAGTTCTAAGACCCGAGCAGCAGTGAATTTTCTTTCCAAGTCCTCACATCATTCCTTTCACATGGGGTTCATCCTTTTGTTACCAAATAGAATTGAGGATATATTTTTTCTTTCACTATAACTGAAGCAAGAAGAGCTACTGAAAGCATATCATTGAATACTAGGTAAAATCAATGTCTTCATTGCTTTTCTTTTCTTTTTTCTTTTTTATAAAATAGCGTTGAAATAGCCTTGCAACAAAATGAAATCACGAACACATTTATTGACGACTGGAAAACCCTGGTGGAAGAAGAAGGCACCTTCGGGGACAAGACCGATACCCACCTGAAGGAGTACCAGTCCTTCACCGACCTTCATAACCTGATGGAGAAAATGGTCACCTGCGTCTCCTGGCACCCGAATATCTATGGTGAGACGGAAGAGACAGGGGTTCTCTTTGTGGTGACAGCGAAATAGCCGGGTGCTTTTATGTGGAGAGTTGAAAATTAGCTCCACTTCAATCGGAGAACTTCCGTTTGCTGAGTGCCAGGCACCTGTTAAGCACTCTCTTTCCGCACCTTCCCTGGGCCGCGCGTCCTCCCAGCTACTCTGGGTTACCCAGTGCGACCTCCACTTCACACCGAGAGGACAAAGCTCCACTCGGGGGAGTGGGGGCCTCAGGTCCCCGGCGGGGGCAACGCCGAATCTGGAGGTGACTCTGGCCGGTTGGGTGGGATGCCCCAGGTTACCTTCATTCCCTGCATACTCTGCCTCTCTGATGACAGGACAGGATGGCCGCCCCCCCCCCACCCCACCCCCAAGCTCCCAGCAGCCAAAGGAGACAGCAGAGTGAAGGTGGAGCTTCGTTCTTCCTCCTCCCCGCTCCTCCCCCACACTGGTCCTTTCCTCACACACACAGAAACATTTATTTTTCTTACTAAATCTTCAAAGTCCAATGTTCATGTTATGTTATACTACCGGTCATCTGTTTGGACTGGGCACATTTTCAAGTGCTAAGGAAGTGACAAGTGGTTGCCGGTAACCATGTTAAACAGCGGGACTCTAAGAAAACGCTTGGGCTCCTGTAGAACATTTTTGCTCACGTTTCCTCCAAAGGGAAATGAGCAGTGACTATGTACGAAAAGCAAAACCTACAAAGACTTCACTACGTGCGGCTGTTGCAGACCTTCACTGTAACTGTGTTTCACTCAGGACTCATAGCTGTGTCGGTGGCCGTGCGGCTCTCCTTTGAAGAAAGAGTTTACTTTTCTGGTAAATTATTGCTGCAACCATCACTGATTCTGTTCTGGAGTTTCTCCGACCCCATACATCCTCAGGTAATGAAGGAGGGACTTCGCATGGTCTACAAGTTTCACATATTACTGTCACATGCCTCTCTTAGCAGTTGCAATTGCAAAGTGCTTTATAATCACCAATGTTGTAAATCCTTATAAAGTCAGGCTTTTCTTCAATTCGGAATTTATGATCATTCAATTTGAGGAAAATGAAAGTTTACACTTGGTTTATTGAGAAGGTTCATTTGAACAAATCAACATGTTATTTAAAAAAAAAAATACTGTAAGAGCCCTGGCCAGTGTGGCTAGGTTGGAGCATCATCCCATGCACCACAGTGTCGTGGGTTTGATTCCCGGTCAGGGCACATACCCAGGTGGTGAATTCAATCCCCAGGTGGGGGTGTTGGGATGCAACCAATTGATGTTTCTCTCTCACATCCGTGTTTCTCTCTCCCTCTCTCCCTCTTCCTTCCTCTCTCTCTAAAGTCAATAACAACATCTCCTTGGGTGAGAGCTTAAAATAATAAAAAGAAAAGATTGTAAGAAGAGCATTCACACAATTTTATTTTATTTATTTTTTTGTTAATCCTTACCCGAGGATATTTTTCCACTGATTTTTAAAGAGAATGGGAGAAGGAGAGACAAAGAGAAATATTGATGTGAGAGAGATACATTGATTGGCTGCCCCCTTTATGACCAGGGACTGGAATAGAACCGGGGACCCTTTCCACAGGCTGATGCTCTATCCACTGAGCCAAACTGGCTAGGATTTAAAATGCAAACTCTTTTATGAGCTTTATTTAAATACTAATTGTTCAAATGCAAATAGATTTTAGTTTCGTACAAATTTCCTCACTTCCAAGGATCACCAGTAGGTGGTGGTGATGAGTAAAGATGAGTGTATAGTAGTGTGAGGGAGAGCAGTGATCCTAAAGAGAGTGCACAGCCCATCTGTAGGGACAGCTACTCTTCAGTTTTCTTATTGGTGGTCTCACTTGTCAAGAGAACACAGCAATTGGGAATTTTGTGTGAAATCTCCAACGTGTTGAATAGCTATTCTAAAACCAAACCAAAAGTGCCCACTCAAACCAAACCAAAACACACAGCAATTCAAGTAAAACAAGGCTGAAGGCTGAGTTTGCCCCATAGGGTACTATTTCTAATACGCGCTCAAGAAGAGTTCTGCTTATGGGGAAGGCACTTTATAGGGTTAAATGAAGTTTTTTCAATGGACTTAAGTATAATAATAACTTGTTTCTATAGAGTATTGTATAATTAAGACTTTCCCTAATAAATATTAGCCTCCCCTTCTTCCTTCTTCCTGAATTCATCTGAATTAAGGCAGTTTTTCTGTAATAGAGTCTAGACACTTCGATTATTATAGACTCGGAGATCAAAATGACAGCTCTCTAGGTATTTCTTATCAGCCTACTTACCACAAAAATGGTGCCATTCTCTTGGTGGGGTTTTCTGTCATTGTCCAGTGATGTCAAACTACTTTCCACTGTGTGACATAGAATGTGCCTGAACATCAGGCAAATAGCAAAATAAAAGACTTCTCCTTTCCTCTATTTTAAAGAATAGTTTTAAAAAGACAAGCAAATAACTTCTTAAAGAAATAATGCAAATGATTTATTTTGTCTTTGTTCTAGTAAAAACTATAAGAGAGTATTACAATACTTTATTTTCAAAAGTAGAGGTTTCTCTAGAATCCACAGAACACCAAATTAACCAAGATCATTCATCCCAATTCCAGTTGGCAATCTTTAACTCAATGATGGCAAACCAATGGGGCCTATATTTGCGGTAGTTATGTTTGTAGAAGAGCAGTAGCCATGCAAGTGTTTTGCTTGGTGGTAACCCAGCAGCACCAGTGCTACCTATGGTTGACATACCTATTCCTTCACACCAGTGTATTCTTTGCAGAGCGTCCTCCCTCCCCTACAAGCCCTTGAATTCATTTACTTCCTGGGTCCTGTATTATTTTAAATTTTGAGATATCATCACTGGCAATACCTTCGTCTTCTCTTATGCAACGTATTTTATTTTTGCGTGCTTACTATGTGCCAGGCTGGATATACAGCAGGGAACAAAACAGGCAAATATCCTGCCTTCCCAGAACTTACTTTCCACACTTTTCGAAAACATTGATTTCACATTCCTTTTGCTTGAGAAAAATTGTAAGATGTCCCAACAATGACCCATGGAGCATGGGGGAAGGTGGACCTGGTCCCCTTGAAAACATACCTGCTCTCATACATATGTCTAATGTCTGCAATAAAATTCAACAAAAGCAGCTTCTAATTCAGAAGTAGAATTCTGGGAATGGACTCTGTGCATGTTCCCATGGGTGGCTATAAAATGGGACTTTTGACTGTTTTAATATTATTTGCCAGCCATTCCCTTAGTAGGTTTTCTCACTCTCTTGAATTTGTGGGGTTCATTTTAGTTAATGCTGGAGAGCCCAGACGACATTTTCTGCTTCACGTTCTGTCCGAGTAACCCTAATATTATTGCTGGAGGCTGCATCAATGGGCAGGTATGTATGGACTTTTTTTTTTTTTTTAGCTATTTATTAATTTAGACAACATCTTGTAATACATTTTGATTGGTTGATTTTTTTTTTTTAACTTAAGAAGTCAATTAAGCAGAAGGAAGGCATGCCATTGTTGGCCAATCACCATGCCAGCAACTGGGGAATAAAGATGTGTTAGGGGGTTGGATGATGGGAATGTAAAAAAAAAAAAAAAAAAAAAAAGGAGAAAAAGAAGAAGAAAAAAGAAAAAGCCTGCCTTCTGTAAGTAAGTACGTAAATAAACAAATAAATAAATAAATAAGGTGTCGGCGCTGCAGGTGTCCACAGGGTAACCTAGTCATGATCATTGGGACAAACTCGGTCAAATCTATTTGTATCGCTGAGATAGAATCATGCATTATACCAGATTTAACGGAAGAACAAAACCCACAAGTATTCATACCCACTGGTCAAGAGGCCTCTTGAAATTTCCCTAGATGTAGGAGTTAGGAAGTGATACAGAGTTTAAACAGAAATTCACTGGAAAATATACATATATTATTGAATTTATGTGTGCATAGTTTGATATCATGTTTGTTTGTTTTTTCCTTTGTTATCTAATTTATATAAAATTTAGGTCCTATCCTCCAATTGCCAGTTTCTCCAATAAAGAAAAACAAAAATCTTAAACGTATGTTTTAGTCAAAGTTTGAATTCACTGTGCTCCAGTGAATTTGAGCATTGCAAGAGTATGTGATTCTTTTTTGGTATGGCTAGGAAAACTTCCTTGTCGTTGAAATTTAAATGTCTGCAGTATCCGTGCCCATTTACCGAAACCAAAAGCATCCAGGAAAACAACACTTCTCCCTGGGTTTTGTCTCTGATGACGACCCAGACACATCCTCCAAGCCCTGCAAATCCTGACATGCCTTGTTTTACTCATTAGGAAGGTTAATACAATTTTGTTTTCGTTTTAGGGGTTGTTGTTTTTTTTAATAAAAGCAAATGATGAAAATAAAAGCACCCATAATTCTGTAATTCTGACATTTTGTGAAGATTTTAGTGTACTGAAATGACTTTTAATCATTAAAAATTAATATAATTTAGTATTGCATATCTACTTCATTCTGATTTTTTCAAATTTGGAGTTGGCCATAATATCCAATAGAATAAAATTCATCATTTCTTACACTTTTTGGACAATTGAGTATGTATATTTACCTCTGGAGAACAAAACAGCTGAGTCTAAAACAAGTGTCCCACAATCATAGCACATTCCCGAAAATAGAAGGTGAACTCTTCCCAAAGTGGAGGGGGTGGCATGATGTTTACCTTGGATTTTAGAAATTACTGGCATTTTTTAACACAAGCACAAAAATCAAAGTGTTGAAAATACTTTCATACAGAAGAAGACATTCTTTTTTATATTAGCTTTAAAAGTTGCTGCCTTAGCTAAGATGTAGGCTAAATTTGATTATCCTCCAAGTTTTTTGATTTATCCAAGGGCTAACCAATGTGAATAGGTTTTTAAAAATCCTTTAATCCTGAAAATGTGTAATAACATCTATTTCTGCTTCAGATTATCCTGTGGGATATTACCGCACATGCTAGCCGCATAGAGCACGTTAAGACAGGCAGCAGTAGAAGTAAAAAAGCCACACTCAAGGTTAGTTTTTTACAATTTTCCCCCATTCAGAAGTTTATTTAAAAATACTTCATAGCAGAGTTGCCAAATTAAATAAAGACTCAGTGAGTGGTGGTGGTGGTGGGGGGGGAGGGTGTCTATTTCTCAAACCTTCACATCTGCTTTGAACATTGTTCTGAATCGCTTTCACGTAGGCCTTTGATTAAAACACCGCAAAACCAGTGGCACCGTCTATCCCAGGCTGTTAAGTTCTTTTTTTGTTGTTATTGTCATTAAATAAAATGAAGTGGCAGGTGAGTTTCCTAAAGTGATGTAGTTGAAGAAGCACTGGACAGAAGACCATGTTCTTCTCTGGGTCATAGTCCTGTACGTTTGGACATTTCCCCACTTGGGCAAACATCCATTTTCTCACGCATAACATGAAGAGGGTAATAATATACTATGATTTTATGAAGCTCTGGATTCTGCCAAGAAGGTAGGGGAATGCTTCCTGAGCTCCCAGCTCAGTACCTACCCACGGTTTGCACATCTCCACCCTAGGTCTCTGTAGGATATCCACAGGTCTCTCACCAACAAAGGAATGTGGCCTTGTGTGCACACAAAGAAGTACTTTTTCAAAAATGGGACTTCGTTGATTCTTTAGGGAGTAGGTCAACAATTTTTGTTAAGTTTAGCGATAAAATCTTAGACTAAACTGAAGGGAAAAGTATATAATGTTAGTCCATAAATATCTACACTAATAAAAGAGAAAAATGGTAATTGGCGTGCGACACTACCCTTTTCATTGGCTAATCAGGGCTATATGCAAATTAACTGCCAACTAAGATTGGCAGTTAACTGCCAACAAAGATGGCGGTTAATTTGCATATGTAGGCACAATGCAGGGAGGCGAAAGGGAAAGCAGGAAGAAGC